GGTCCGACAACATTTTGGATATTTAAAACCTCTCCTGACCTTTTCCTGGGAAAAATTAACCTAAATTAAATGGTTTACACCTTTTATCAAAGAAAAAGTAACCATTGTTACAATCCCTCAAAAAAATGATGACTAAAAGGGCCCCCCTTTCATACTTCAAAATTTTTCTGAAAATTTTGACCTCTATGTGTAAACCTTGACTTTGGGCGCAGGGGTTGAATTTTCATGCGACACTCAGCCCCCAACAAAAGGTGAAACACTTTGCCAAGTATATTGAAAACCCCCAATGAAAGAAGAAGTTTTTTTCTTGGACAAGCGGTTTTTTAATGGGGCTTTTAATGTTTACCTTACCTTTACCTGGAGACATTGATCATGCATGGGCAAAACAAACATTTGGTGGGGGAAATTTTCCCTTAAAGTATTATTTAAAAAATTCCCTTTCCATAAAAAGTAGGAGGGTATCTCCAACAAAAACGTGGAATTTCACCATCTTTTGTGACCTTGGGCCTTGGGAAAATATTAAACCTTTTAAAATAAAATTTCACAAACCGTGTAAAAATAAAGCCATTTTTGGTTTCAATCCCCCAATAAATGGATTAAAATCGTCCCTATACCATCTTCCTATTTTATCTAAAATTGACCTTTATGGGGTGACCTTTAAAAATTTGGGTGCAGGGGCCCCGTTTTTTGCGGGGAAAACTCCGCCCCACAAAGGGAACAATTTTTGCCAATTTTTGAAATCCCTCTAGCATGTGAAAATTTTTCTCCGGGGCAAGCGTTTTTTCCCTGAGCCTTTAATGTACCTTGCCTTTTACCTAGGGGCCCCAGTTCAATTTCCCACATGGCTTTTTAAAAAGGGGAAAATTTTTTTGGAATTTTATTAAAATCCCTCCCTCGTGTAGGAGATATCTTTTCCCGGGCAAAATTGGGAAAATTTTATCATCTTTTTGTGACCTTGACCCTTTTTTAAAATTGACCCTAAATTTTTTAAGCCATAGTCTGAAATGGGCCAAATTTTTGTTAAAATCCCCAATAAATATGAATAAATTCCAAAATACACATTTAAAAATTTTTACTAACCCTTTGACCCCTTTTGGTGAAAAAAAATGGAAGAAGAAAAAGAAAACCCGTAATCATTATCCTTACCTTTTAAATATAAGCGCATTAGATTTGACAGATTTGTATTAAGAGTAGATCTAATTGTATATAAAATCAAATATCGTTAAACCACGGATTTATTATATGTAATATAATCCGTGGTTTAAACATAGTCTTCCCCGGTAAAAAATAAAGCATAAGTTTACAGCATGCCAACAAATACACATATGCTTTTGGTGATACATTTTTCTTTAATATTAATAAAATTGTACCATGTATATAATATAGTGCCTCTGATATTATGCATTTAATATGCATCTGAATTATTTTTAAAAGTACCACGTACTTTTCATAGTTTCTGGCGCAATGGCGCAATGCATTAATGTCCAGCTGAAATAACGTTAACTTTTTATCTCCACACAGTATATGTGGAACGCGCGTTAACTAAAATGAGAATTTGTTTTATGTCTTAAATTTCTCCTTTTTACGTTGTTTGTTTTTTGCGGTTAAAATTGATATTTACAGATGTTAAATAGAAGGTTATATGGATTCCTAGATGATATTCGCTCATTTTGCAAAATTATAATCTTACCAAGAACTTGAAAATTGTTAGTATATACAATGTACATGTATAATAGAGCGCGAAGTCAAATATTTTTATGTAAAATGTGTTGGATTTTGTTTCTCTTTCCATAACAATTTAACAAATACATGTATATGTTGCTGATAGAATCTACGTGAGATTCGAAAGATACAAATGAATATCTCGATTATTCATTGGTTGACACGTTTTATATAAATCGTGAGAATTCCCCCTCTTTAGCGCCTATTACCCTCCAGAGGTTTACATGTAATTGTTTACAAATCAACGGAATTGCAGACATAAGTCTTTTAACATTAAAACCAGACATTCATGTTTTTGTTTTAAAATTATATATCATTGTTGTATACATAGTATTAAAGTATATCTTTCAGACATTTTTTTACCATATTTACATAATTATAAAAATCTGAAGAAACCGTTATTTGACTTTTAAATGTCATCAGATCCGCCATTTTCTGTGTGTGAGCGTGCGTGCGAGCGAGCGAGCGAGCGCGTGCGTGTGTTTTTGTGTGTGTGCGCGCCCGCGTGCGCGCAAAGCTAATTTAACCTTGTAAATATAGTGCAAAATATTGGCAGGTACTAGTGTGGGAGGTTTCGTTTTGGTTTGCTTTGTGAATAAAAATGATAAGGAGATAGTGTATTAAAATACATGCACATGTAAGGAATAACTTAATTTACTTTACCTTAACAGTCAAAACTACTTTTAGGACTTTAATTGACAATTAAAGTCTATGCCAAAAACCGACCGCTGATTGTGAAATCACATTGGTCCAAAAGAAATCAAAGGAAGAAAACCATTTTACAGTGCATCCTATTATAAACCACATGAAAATGACACATATGAAGTATATTTGAATTTGAAAAATCATGAGATATAGCAAGACATCTCAAAGGCACTAGTATAATTCAAGGGAACTTTAATTTTCCACAATTAACACGAGACACTGAACATAACTTAACATTCTTACAAATTTGGATGTTATTTCTAAAACTATTTATGAAAAAAATGAAAGTACTGTAATTGAAAGTCACTGTTTTACTCTAATGGTAAATGGAACACACGGAATGAAAATATCTTAGCTATCTTTTTAATGTCAAGCTGGACGATTTTCAACAAAACATATATAATTTCAGATATAGCAGACCATTACATCATTACAACAACTGTACATGAAAAGGCTCTGTCATCGGCCAACTTTACTGTCAAATTTATAATCACTGACATATATCAATGCGCTCTCTACTTCTGCCTGAAATTCACACTTTTGATGATGACATTGTGTCTAAACTTTATTAAAATCAAGAGTTCAAGTGAAAAGATTGGTTGCAAACTTGATAAAATGGCTACTGAGTCATAAATATTTACAACATGCGCACGTAATTTCTTCAGGAAAGTGGGTTTATATGTTATTTTTAAATTCTTTAATATGCCTATTCCTTAAAGCAATGTTTATGGCACACTCGGTTTAAGGTCTCGGCTTCCTAGCTTCTGATATGACGAAGTTATTAAGATATAAACTTGCTATGTACATATTTTGAGACTTGACAAGTGACAGTCCAGGGCAATTTTTATGCTCATTTAAACGCATCTGTAAGTTTAAAAGTTCACCAAACAAGACAAAATATATATCTGTCAATACTGTGTAAATATTTAAATTTGCATGTTCCAAATAAAATTTCAATACACGAAAATATCTGTTCAAGCGCATTTTAGTAGCAAACTTGTAGTTCACGCATTTCTGGTTGCAAACTTTTTTTTTTAGTCAAATATTAAACTGCCAAACAATTCAACGAAGATCATATTGATTAGTCACAGATATTTCTTGAAAATTTATTTTATACATGCAACTGTGTTTTTTTTCACTGGCTTTTAAAAATGTTTTAAACAGCTTTGACATTTAGGGGTTTCTTTATTTAATTGTCAATTGTTATCATTTATTGGTACGGCCACTCCATGCCCAGACTTTGTGCCCTCTCCTGGTTTATGTTCGGTGCCCTACTGAATACCTTTGTGATAGTCCAGTGTGACTGTATTTTGTCGTGGGTTGCATTCTCTTTATGTCGCTTTGCATTGTTGATATTTGTTCTAATGTATTTCCTGTTCTACAGCCATAATGCACGTGTGTATTTCTTTCATTCGCATGTTTCTCAATTCATTTATGAAAAATTATTACACTTATTAATGTTGTTAATATTTATGACTCAGTAGCCATTTTGTCAAGTTTGCAACCAATTTTCTCGCTTGAACCAAGTGTGCAACCACTTCACGTTCTGTCCCTTGAAAAAAGAGCAAAACCGAATCCCTATAGAACGCCCAAAACGGTAAAATTGAAAATGTTCAAGCTCGGTGTGTCCATACGACTGTTTCCATGGAACTTTAACGTGACACTTCCGTGCCAATTGATGCAAAACGGTGTATGGTACTGGAGTAACAGAAAGTGTGTGCACTAAACTGGAAAACAATAGGTGCAATACTTTCTCAGATGCACGGTAAGGATATAGATAAGATGCATTGGAAAGAGAGTAGGATGGAATTCGATTCCTCTAAATGCCAAGTCCTTATATTGCAAGATTTAAAAAAGGAAAGCAAGTATTTTATTTATGTCAAACCTTAACATGTATCCAAATTCATAATATCTTGGTCTAGAGATTTTAATTACAACACGTATAAGACGCACCTAGATCTCAAGGATTACATCTTGCGCAAATAAAATGTTATTTCTCATCAAAAGAAATATAAACACAAAACACAAGAACTATCTTTCATTTAAACAGGGATAAATTGTAATAAACATTATATAAACGCAGATATAAAACATTATATAAAAGCAGATATAAATGTAAATCCCATGAATCCGTACATGTAGTTCGACCTCAGATGCCTCCACTATTTGAGCTCCTATTAATATTCTCAATCAAATATTTAAAGAAAACATAGTTTGAAGACCAGCAATACCTTGGATGAAACAGTGATAATATTCACTATTCCTAATTGATTGTATCAATAAATCTATAGGATTGTTGAAATTGTTGTTGCATATCGCGTTTTTGTTTTTTTTCCAAGGGGGTTGTTTCTGTTGTCTTTTTATTGGTTTTTTTTGTGGTTTTTTGTGTGTTTTTTTTAGTATCCAATTCGTTTCTCTTATTTTCTTTGAGAAATTTCAACCTAATGGGAAAAAAACTTGCATTTTTGATACACTCTGCTAAGGCTCTTTTTTACCGTTTTCAGCCTCGAGATAGAGAAGGAAAATATTTAGTGGTATTGTACCTAACATCGAAGCGATTCAGATTTCAAATTAAAGCACCTCTTAAACCTAGATCAATTGCCACTTACTTCCGGTTACCTGTCAAATAAGTTGATCCGATTAAATTTCAATTAAAGACCCTCTACTTTACAGGTTGGGACTAATTGATTTCTTCAGCTATGTTTTTGTGTACAATTTAGTCAAATATGAGCGGTAAATTTGTCAGAAGTATATTTGGCGGACAAAAATACGAGTACAAAAGACTGGGTGAAATCCAAAATGTGAAGAAGTCGAAAGTTTATGTTTTTGGTGATGATGATATTGCTGAAGAAGATGTTGTTGAGTTTGAGCTTAACAATGTTCGCACCAGGAAAAGTAAAAGCAATAAGGCAGCAGCGCAGGAAGAAGGTCCAGCCTATGTTGAGAGGAGGCTGACTGAGGATGACACATTGCAGTCTGTATCTTTGCAGTACGGATGCCCTGTAAGATCTTTAAACTGTAATAAACAAATTCATGGTGAATCGCCACCGCTCGTCACCAATCTAGAGCAAAATAGTCACTAAAGTAGGGTAGTAGGGTGACTATCATGGGGTGAATAGTCAGTTGGATGAAGTGTCATCAATCTTGGAAATGTTTTTTAGGAGGGGCCAAATTTTGTCACAAAGTTATAGATGTGTTCTAAAAACACAATACACCCATAAACACTTTCAATAATATGGAATTAGGCAAAGCCTATGAACGGGGAAGTCGTAAAAAAAAATCCTTTCATTCTTTCCGTTTTAAAGGTGTCATTCGGTATTACATGCACTGCTTCCGTTTTCACTCGGAACACTCGACGATTATCATTTATCCGAAAAGTTGAGATTTGTTCCGTTATCAAAATACCCCGCCTACTATCATTGAGTTACATTGTAAATGGCGGCGCCCGACTAGAACTGACACTGTAAATTTCATTGATAGGTATAGAATTCTATATATTTTTTAATTGTTTTTTATTTGATTTTCTTTTAAATATACACGTGTAGTCTATAGCCGGGCAAGCCAAAGCCTGGACCCGCTTCGCGGGCCCAGTCTTTGACTTCCCCGTATGATCTACGTAAATAACCAAGGTGTATCGAGTGAAAAATACAAGTTGCTTCCCTTATCTTAGAGTAAAATCGATACCACATATGCTAAAACAATACAAAATAAGCCGTTTTTAAACCGCTAGTTTGTTGAGATTACATGTCCGATTTTGAAATGTATTACACCAATAGAAAGCTTTGGATCTTAGCTTCATCACAGTATAAACTTCAACACATCTTTTGACTCCAAAGTATTTAAATTATCTGTTAAACCTACCATATGTCAGACCATTTTACATACGATTTATACAGTGAGATACCCAAGCTGTTATCTAACTTATCTTTACTCGAAATACTGCTGATAATAGCCTGTCGTCTGCTAGTTCTGAAAGTGTTTATCGGTGTATTCTTCAAAGTTAGCCCAAAAACTAAGGTCTGACGTTGGTAACCCAATTCACAGTCCAACGTTGTACCTTAACCTATTGATTCAGTGTTGAACTAACCGAATGGTGCTACATTAGACCTTTTCAAAGATCATTATCATTTATTATTTGTTAAATATACAGCTGCGTTTTTGTGAACATCTTGAAAAAATATAGATAAATTATTCAATAACACCGCAATTCATTTTGTAAATATACTTTTTTTTTGTAGATTTCAGAAATAAAGAGACTTAATAATTTAATCAGGGACCAAGATTTTTATGCCTTGACATCTGTTAAAATACCAGTAAAGCAACATTCCTTCCTCGTTGATCAAATACAAGATGATGACAAAAAATGTGGTGAAAAATTGTTAAAAACAGTAACAAGAAGTCTTTCAAATGGTTCTGCATGCATCGAAAGTGGTGATGATCAAAGCATTTATTATGATTCTGAAACTGATCGTGCTGTGACTGACCTAAGTGATCCTGAAACTCAAAAGCAGGTCATTCGGAAAATAAGCATAAATAAAGCGACCAGAAGTCAGACCACTGAAGCAGTAAAATTTCTTAAAGACATGGATAAAGATTTGTCTCATATACTAAAAACAACACGGACAGAAAGGAATTCTTTGGATGAAGTGATCTCAGTATTGACTCACAAGTCTGTGACGCCTTTTGTAATGCCACAAAGAAAGAAGTCAAAATATTTAGAATGTGTTATAGAATGGAAAACAACAGTTACTATATTGGTCTTAGTGGCAATTGTTGTTCCCTTAGCTATTGTTGTATATGTACTGTATTTTAGGAAATAACAAATTTTTATGTTTGAAAAAGAGATGGTCAAGTGCTATAATTATGTCACTTTTATGTACTGAAATAATAAACTTAAAGAAGTTACGGTGCTCCAGTGATGGGTCAAAAAGATATGTTGTTTTAATTTCTAAGTGACATTGAGGGGTTCAAGCAGCAGGCTGTTAAATCACTCAATCATCACTTAATCATCCTTTCATGATTAGATTTCTGCAAGATTTGAGAAACTGGCAAATGTGTTCTCTGAAATTATTAAATCTTTGCCCCTTATCTTTTTAATAAATGAGTCAGTTATTACTGCTCTCAAAGATAATAAATATACATGTTTTTAAATTTAAGGCATTTCCTAAACTCCTTAAAATGACATTATGCTTATCTAACTGCAAATGGTGAGTGTACAGGTGAAAGTAAAAAAAAATTAACACTTTTCCATAATTGTTTTCAATTCTAAGTTTTGCTTTCAAATAATCAGTAACTCACATGACCATTGAAATTTTCTATAAAAACATGTATATATATTTCTATAATTTAGCTGTAATGGTCACTTGATAAGAAGAGTAGGACTGTCTTTTTATAGTTTAGGCATAATTTTATCCTAATCATTGGTCATTATAAAATTTAATTATTGGGCTTATGGCAAATCACCAAAATAACAGTCAATTTTTTAAATATGAAACTAATTCGGGTAAACTTGACACTCAAAAAATGAGCATAATGTCACTTTAATGCATTATCCGGTATTTTTTACTTGTAATTTTTCTTTTTTCTGAGATGTAAAGATTAAATGTTTAAGGGTTTGTTTTTTAGCTCTTCTTTGTTATTTTGAAAATCTTTACATACAATGCAGGATAAAATGACATGTGTTTAATGGATACAATTAAAATATCTATCTTCCAATAATGTCAAACCACTCGTGGACATGCCTGCGCATCAAAATGGCAACAAAGTTAAAAAGCGATGTTTAAAAGAATAAATGAGTATAAAATTTACAAATTTTATCAGTTTGTACTATGTTTCATCTCCACTTATTGAATCTTATGTTAATTCTTGTTCTAGAACATATGAACTTGTAAGTCTTATCAGAGTCAATATGTTGTTGACAGCTCTATTTCAGCCTGTTGACATTGTTTGAATATGATGATTTGTTCAGTCTTATAATGCAAGACTGTTTAATCATTTAAGAATTACAGATTACACATAGATCTATAAGATGTGTAATAAACTTGCAAAATTCTTATTGCCAAACTTTGATTTATTTTTAATTAATTCTCATTCAATAAAATGATAGTGGTTTCAGATTTTTCCTTAGATTTAAATTGTTTTTTGTGTTTACTAACATGGCAAATGTTTGATTGTAAATTCAATAAAATGCTAGTGGTTTCAGATTTTTCCTTAGATTTAAATTGTTTTGATGTTTACTTACAAAATAAATGTTTGATCGTAATTTACAACCAAGTATTGAGTAAACCATCTGAAGTATTCAACATTAATTTCAGTAAAATGATGCAATGTGTGTTACACAATGACATGTACATTATAAAACATGGTCAAATTTCTCTTAAAAAATGAACGTCTTGATCTAGATTCAAACCCAGAACCTTTGTTTTCACATTCTAGCACCTAAACATGGAGGCTAATAGAACACCTTACACATTTATGCTTTCATATTATACATATACAGCTGTGGCCTATTTCATTGGTAAAAACATTTGACTACGGAAAGCTACAATTGCCTAGAAGAGGAAACTGAATATTCAAATGTCCTTGGTCAATATTGCCAAACTATACAAAAGCCATGAGTATGTTTCCTTGGCAACTGTAAAATTTAATAATCATCATTTTTAATGTCTGATTTTATTTCTATGTTATTGTGCTGAATTTGTTGATCTGTCTGGTTTTTTAGTCTGTGATATTTAATTTGTATAAATATTGATTTTTGTTCAGATACATAATTGTGAAAACAGGTTGATTATTTTAGATTTTTTCCCCCTAAAGGTGTTTCTCCTATTCACCATGAGGAAAAAATCTTGTGTAGAGCACAGATAGAAAATGCTATATGAATAATGTCATTTTTACAAACATTTTTAATATCTATATGTACAATGTACATGAAAAGGTTTGACTTAATTATAATGTTTTCTGGAATTATATGTGGAAATTTCAGGGAGACAGAAATTATCAAAAACATTTAAAGCAATAGCTTTAAACATTTTGAGGGTTATTCATTTATAGTTTGTCTGTTTTGATGAAAAAGTCAAGCTAATATATTATCACTGCTGCATCATTATTGTCATTGTCTTTCTGCAAAAATTTTAATGTAGCCCATTATTCAACCAATTCAAAAGTCATCAACATGAAACTTAATATATTTGCTTATCATGACAAAGTTTTAGACAAGGGGCATAATTCTGAAAGTACTATTTTTGTAATGATTCCCCCTTTGAAATTAGGATTTTAAAAAACATTATTCATACTGTTCAGATAAAAAATTAAAATACACATGTCATTATCTTAGTGCAGTAACAGGTTAACTCCTATTAAAAGTCAAGTCAATAGGACTTAATCCATTATTGCACTAAGGTGACGATGTATTCATATGATTATTTTCTGGACTCAATTTAGATTTAATTCAGTTTAAGTCTTCATTTACCATTATCATCATGAAACAAGATGAAACATGTTATATTCCACTACTGGTACATGTAGTATTTGAAATTTCGGGTAAAAATTGGAATAGGGTATTTTTCTCAAAATGTTCACCCTCTTTGTACATGTTCATGATAGTTCAAGATGTTCATGATAGTTCTATATAACAAAATTCTTAAAACCTTTGGGTACTGAAGACACATTTTGCGGATGTTTTAGGGAAAACTGAATCTGATAGAAGGAGCTTGCTTTCACTTTTAAAAAAAGATCTTACGTTTTTTGTCTTCATTGAGGTAAAACTTTTCATGTACAGTCTTTGGTTAAATAGTTCAGAAATGTTTAGCATCATTTAATGGACTTTGTATTAAGACATTTACAAAAAAAACTAAAGTATCTAAATACATGCATGGAATGGAAACAATTATTTTCATTGTTTTATTTAATCCACTTTTTGAAGAAAGAAGTGTACATGTGTAGCTATTGTCATGACTTCATTGATGTATTTTTTCCCAGTTTCAGTTTATTGATTAAAAAGAATAGAAGTCAATTTAGAAGTTACCCAATAACTTTCAAGACAATGCTCAAGTTTTGTTCATCACACGCATTTATTGTTTGAAAAAGAGTTTGTAACTTGTAAAATTTAATATTTGTATATGGATTTTTATTTTGGAATAAGAATTACATTGTAGATTGAACTGTTGGATATTTGATCAGATGCTAGGTTTTTTGTCAAATGTTTAGATGATTTTAAAAATTATTATCTGTAAATACTCTGCAACAGGGTTTATTTAGGCAGTATGGTATATTTAAATTCACAGTTTTATATCAGGGTCTTTATGGCCATGTGTATTTATTAACCATCATAATTTCATATCAGGGCGTCCTTGTCCAAGTAAATAATTAAGGATACTGACTTCAAAACCAGTGCAGTATTGGCAGGTCAGCCTGTTGAATTCATGCACATTGAATTTAGAGGCATTCATGCTTCAAGGAATTTCAACAAAATACAAAAGAGAAAGTGACCAATGGTATAGAGCCTGGTCAAATGGAACAGACCTGCAGATAGGCCTGGCTCCATACTGGGGGCAAAGGCTAATCTTTTTTGGGGTCCAATAGGTTAAGCTGGTCATCGTAACCATTTTTTGTCAATTGACATATCCAGATCTAATGCAGAACAATTCTTTAACATCTTTTAACTTCAACTTGGTAAAACATGGTACATATCTGTAATATAATCAAAGGAAGAAGTATGTATAACTACATGTATAAGGTTGTAACTGCTATTAGAATTTCAACAAAATTGTAGCCTGTGTTGATACACAGAATTGGATGTTTGTAATCGTTTTGTTTGGGCATGCATTGAAAATATATCAATATGGCAATGACATCTTAACTTTGTAAAATGTTTGTACTGTATATTACATGAATTTGAGTTACATTGTATATCAGGTCAAGAACCAAAGGCACCATTGTAGATGTAATTGCTCAAGTGTTATGGTCATCCTTTTTTTGTTAATGGACAACTTAAAAAAATGAAAATTGTGCTGTTGTTTAAATGAAATAATGATCTATATAAATTGGCAATCATATTTTATTTTTGTTGGTTTGTATTTTTTGCATAAAGAATTCATGTAAGAATTTAAAGTTTGACTGATATGTACATTTGACTGATAGTCACCAATTCCATTGTTGAACAAGCATATGGAGTTAAGCAAAAGAAAAACTTTTGAAGCTTCCAAGTCAATTTGTACAATTTGTTATTGTAATTTATGATGTAAATGAAATGTTAATATATGAAAAATAAAACTAACAAAAAATAATACTAGTACATTCATAACAAAAAGAATTTGTCTTTGAGAATTTTATAATTGAAGTTGACAACTGAAGATTTGTTTATATTATTTGTGTATATTAAATTTTTCTGAACACTTTTAATTCTCAAGGGTAAATTAAACTAATAGGTGTACATCAGAGTATACTGTAAAGATTTCAAAAACTGTAAATGTAGTTTTCTTATTCTTATCTAGAGAGTTTTAGGACAAAAGGGTGTCTATTATTTATTGCAGATGACTATAATATTTGAAGACAGGATTATAATATTCATCTGTTGTTTTTAGTTAGTTTGGCAAAGATTACATCCTTGTGCCATGATAGCCCATTGCTTCATCAGAAATTTTCAATTCTTTTAAGCTATAGGAACTTAGTCAGTTTTTTTATCAAGATGAAAATACATACACAAGCAATAAGAGACAGTCCAGTACATTGGTTTATTCCATTTCACCACTTCTTTCATGAAATTCTCTATTCACTTGAACTGATTCATTTTGTAAATACTCACTATTCACAAATATTAGTTTTATTTATGAATATTAACAATATTTTTAATGTTGACAAATTGTTATCAAATTACAATTTTATCTTAATCATATTTGTAACCTATTTAAGCCTATGAGGAAGCTAGCTATACAGCCAGCCAGGTATTTCAGGTGGTTCTACTTTTGTATGTTTAGAGTTGACCGCAAAACTGTAAGTCTTTTCATTCATATAAGTGCACTACAGCTTTAATTTGGGGTCCTTTGGCATGTTGTGCTTGTTCCTAAAACACATGGTAAAAGTCACATGTAGTGTCTTTATTCTTCCTCAAGCAGTAGGGCTGCAAAGTCACCTTGTGACCTAAACAGTATTAAATTACTTGGCAGCCGTCCAACAGCAGTAGGACTAATTGCTGATGTGATGAAATGAGTTAATTAAAAATAATTTCTTCTAGGTTGTAAAGAAACACTGTTTATTTCTAGGATACTTCAGGAGTTCACATATTTCACGGGAAAGAAGCAATGATTAATATATTTAAGTTAAAGCAACTCCCTATTTGATTTTAGAAATATTATTATTATTATACATGTATAATAGCCAAAATCTGTGGAGATGTTTTATTTCTTACAGTAACCTATATTTATTTTTCTATCTGATTGTTATTTTGTTAAAGTTGTCAACTGTCCTCTTTCAATCATGTATTTAATTTGTTGTGTAGGAATCTGGATAAACAAGCATTAAGTAATTACATGAAAATCAAGATACATATTACATATATATGTGAAAATGTGCAAGGTGACTTAATCATGAAATAAAATTGATATTGCCATTTAGACATGTTAACTTTGTATCTTCTCATCCCAATATCTATTATGATATCACAGTAGAAAGTAACTCAACAGTTCTAAATTTAAATTTGGATAGCTCCCTCTTATAATTTTATCACGGTAAATGTTAAAATAAAGACATCATGATGTAGTATGGTTCAAAATATAAAGTTTTTGTCTTGTTACATTTAAAGTCCTGTTGCGACTTTCAAGCTTTACTACATAACATAACATAACATAACATAACATATATTTTATTAGTCTTAAGCACATTAACAGCTCATTGACATTTACATACAATATGACACGTATTTGTAGCATGCGTAATAATTATAATCATATTTACAGAAATAGAAAAACACATACATTATACACAAAACACAAAACACAACGGCTACACACAATAATAAACAGCGAGAATTCATATATTTTTTACGAAAATAGAAAGCTTGGTAAATACGTCATCTATTATGACACTATTATGTTGAAAACTACACATTCACTGTTCAAACACTAATTGGTCTCTCTAAAAAATGATTGTCTGATTCTAAAAGCCTTAAGAATATATAATGCTAGCTTGATAAGTACATTTTTATTGGTCGAATTTAAAAGTTCAATGAACTTGTAAACACTTGCATGATTACAATAATAGTCACTTATATACTTCTTTCTGATGTCTCTATATAATTTACATGTTAAAACGAAGTGGAATTCGTCTTCAATGTCATTCATGTCACATAGCATACACTTTCGCTGATCTCTCGGCACTGCATTTTCAAAGTGTCTTGCCATTTCTATCATTAAATCATGCGATCCCATACGTATCTTTGCAATTGCTCGTCTGTATTTCAAGTTATTCAATATTATGAGATATGGGGGAATTTCAAAAGTTTGTTTGATTTCCTTGTATAAATATAAGGAAGGACAAGTGTTAATATCTATATACCATTCTGCTATGTAGAAGTCTCTAAGTCTCTGTTTCAGAACAGGCGTAAATCTTTCTATACAAACAGATGCTGGGAAAACCCATATTTCACCAAAACCAATTGCATTTAATAAATCTCTCACTTTTAATAACCAATTGTCAATAGCATTTTCAGTCAAATTTAACAATCTATCAAGCAAAGTATTTAAAATACAATTACTTTTTCTACTGCTCAGTTTTATAAAATATTTAACTGCTTTTACTTTTCGATCGATTATCAAAGGGAAACGGCCAGACTCACCATAAACCCGCACATTACTAGTAGACATTTTTACACCTAGTGTCCATTTAATAAATTTTCTATGCACCCGTTCTATGCACTCCGCACTTGACAGACCCCATATTTCACCAGCATATGTCAGAATTGAGCTCACAAAAGAGTCAAATAAATTAAACATGATGTTTGTTGGTACTTGCATATTTTTTACCAATGAGAATAACGACCCGACCGCTTTGAGTCCTTTTGCCGCTAGCGTCATTGTTGCTGTTCTAAAGGAACCTCCGGATGTAAACACTAGACCTAAATAGTTGAAACTATTCACTATCTCTATTTCTTCATTGCCGTAATGCCATCTTTCATTTGCAGCTATAATGCCTCCTTTTCTGAAGACCATAATTTTAGTTTTTTGGATATTTACAGTTAAGTTCCACTTTTCGCAGTAACTCTGTAAGCTATTTATTGATGATTGTAAACCTTCAATAGTGTCCGATAGAATAACGGCGTCGTCTGCAAATAGGATTAGATATAATGATAATTGATCAAGATTTATTCCCGCATTTAAGTTAGATTGTAGCTCCGTTTCAAGATCATTAATGTACAAGGAAAACAAAAACGGTGAACATATTTCTCCTTGAAATAGACCGATGTCATTCGTGAAAAAGTCTGACAAATCATTAAACTGCCTTACACAACATTTAACATTTGCGTATAGCGAACGTATAATTTGAAACAGTTTCCCGTCTACACCATTTTTAATGAGTTTCAGGTATAGTGATGAACGGTCAATAAAATCGTATGCTTTCTTCAAATCTAGAAACAGGCAATATAGTCTCATTTTGTTCCTTAGGTGATGTTGGATGACTTCATTTAAAACAAATATTGCGTCTGTGGTACTAAAGTTTGACCTAAAACCGAACTGTGAATCCGAGATTATTTCATTTTCGTCGGACCATAGTTTAAGCCTATTATTTATAATAGACATGAACAATTTTGCGAAACAGCTTACAAGGGTTATCCCTCTATAATTATTCGGATCATTTGTCTGACCTTTCTTAAAAATTGGCACAATAATACCTTTTGCCCATTGTTCAGGAATCGTACCCGTTTGTAATATTTTGTTGAATAATTTTTCCACATGCGGTAATATTATGTCGAGGGTTTCTACAAAATATTCAGACAATAAATTGTCAATCCCGGGCGCTTTATTTCGGTTAACTCGTTTAGCCGAAGCTAGTATTTCTTCTTTAGTTATTGGATAGTCTAACTCTTCAAATGTGACAGTATTTGAACCTAATAACGTGTTTTCGTCAAAACTACTGATAAAATCTTGAGTTTCTGTATTTTCGAATCCATTTGATAATGATAAGGACATGACTGGTGGAGGACAATCAAGTAAACAGTGCTTTTTTGTGCATATAATATTTTAGGCAAAAACAGGTAGCCTCAATGGAATCACTGATCTTTCATAAGCTAATTGGTTAGTGATATGAAGTACATATATCTCGTAAATATTTCTCTATCACAATCTATACATGTCTTTATCAATAAAAAGAAGGATAATATAGAAGAAACATTACTTTTGCCATTGACATTGCATACCTATTCAATTTAGAAATAAAAGATATTGAATCAATGAATGTATGTATTTGTATTTGCATGAATGATAATGTAAATTCCAATATATATACCAGTTAATATTGCAGTTCTACATAAACATGCTATTGAAGTAACATTTTAAATAGATTCTTTCATGTGCATTAACGTCATTTTGTTATATTACCAGCTGTTACTTGTGAATATACAAGATTTTTATAAATAAAACCTGTTATTTACAGATATTTTATCATTGATCACATATTGCCCAGTGCCTGACACTATCTCAATCTGTGTAGCAGTAAAGGTAATCCAAACTATGATCATGCAGGAATTCCCAAGAAACATATATGTCATATTTTGGCATGTGTCATTATTACATTTATGTGAATAAGATTAATTCTTCTTAATTTATCATATTTTTACCTTTACTTTCTCAAGGTACTGATCACCTCTGTATATGCCAGAGCAGAGGTACATGTACAGTACAAATGACAGTTAACGTTGAAAGGATTTCATAATCAATCACAACGAAAGTGACCTCCACCATCCGGGAATCAAGCCTGTGTAATTTTGTTGTAGATCCGTCATTGAAAATGTATTTATTGAAAATATATGGGAATTTTGCACAATTACATCATAGGCCTATACCTATATTGAATGTATTTTAAGAAGCCTCAATATCTATACTGTATGTAGCATTTAGGTTTGCATTTTGAACAGCTTCAAGCAGTTAGATGCATGTCTATAATGTTCCACATTGTAAAAACCCAGTATGACAAATTATATTTTGTTTGCTATTTTTACCATATATCAATTATTAGTGAAATCTATTCCGAAGTAAGGTTGTCATTGTATTTAGACCTAATAAATATAACATTT